TACCTACTTCTCGTGCAATTTAATGAAAAAAGGACGTAATTTGATTTCTAGTAATTAAAAAAAATATATTTAACATGATGACACATAACTATAAACTATTACCAATACCTTACTTTAATGGAATAATCAATTGGGAAATGTCTGCAATATTACAATAAAATAATAGAGGTTATTCAATTATTATGTTTATATATGAAGTGATGTTTATTATATTTTACATATATTGTATTTATGGTTATATAATTAATCAAGTATGTATTTATATTTTTGAATGATTTTACAACAACTTTCGTCATATTATATTTGTGAATTTAGCCCAGAACACTTTAGGGTAATGTTGTGTATATTGTATAACCCTCCAAAAAAAACAAAAAATGTCCGACAAAAGGTGATCATTAATAATTATTATATTAGGTGGTTATTACTTATTTATTATTACAGATTTGCTTTTGATGAAATAGTTAGAATGCAATTTTTTTTTTTATTATAAATCCGTAAATTTGTCTGTAGCAGCTCTGTAAAAAAAAGTCTGAAATATAGTATTATAATAATAACAGTAGAACAACAAACATTATGAATTATGAATACCTACAGCAAAACGAGTTACACGATTTTTTTTCATTTTTAATCCAGGGTACAATAATTTTTGCTAAACATGTAATTTTCAATTCATGCAAATAACACCTATCATTATAATATCTTCAAGCTTTTTAAGATATATCTATGCAATATTTAACAACATTAAAAAATAATTCATTTCATCCATATAAGAAAAATAGAAGAATAAAATATCCCCTATATATTTATAAAGTATTATAATACAATCATCATATTTATTTGTTCACACATTTGTTCGTCCTATAATATGAAATTTACGACATATTATGTAAAGAACCATATAATATTATAAGCAAATGCGTGAAAAGGGTAAATAATAGGTGTATACAATTGAAACTTTTGTCATCTATCGGTAACACTATATCTATTTTGAAGATTCATTAAATTAGTAATATTCAATTTTTATTTATTCAACTTCACGGAGCTTGTTTTTCAGAACTAATATAATTTACATAAATAAACAAGCCAGTTATAGATGCTTGGTGTTTTTAAATTAATGCGATTTTCATACGCACACGCGTTTCCGTTTAAATTGAACCTTTGGATAATGTTTAACCCTCGATAATAATGAAGTTTATTAATGTATTAATATAATAATTAGAGAATGTGCGGTTGTTCTAAAGCCTAAACGATAACGTTTTATGTTGCTCCTGATAAAATTGTGTAGTTAGATTAATGGACATATTTTATGGTTCAATAAATTAAATATTAATCAAACCGTTCAATAAGAATAAGATTATTCAGACCTAACATCAGACTTCGATTAGTTTAGAAACATACGTTGTTGTTATTTTAATAATAATGACTTGTTGCTTTATTTTCATTAATAAAATATGTATCTGTTATTATTTATTGACGTGTACCGTGTACCTATTTAAATTTTTAATTGTGCTGAATAAATATTATTATGATAAGTCTAATCATGTAGTATATCGACTGTGTTACCATTGAACCAATTAATTAATTAAATGGTAATATAGTAGTTAATAATACCACCCTATTAGAATTAGAATTTATTCAGCACATATTAAAATAGTTTCGTACGCTTATATAACTATCTACAAAATTGGGATATCGAATTAAAATACAATACACACAATTTTAGTGGTATATAGTTGCAAACATAATATTGAAATCAAAAATGAACTGAAAATAAGACCGACACTCAGTGTCATGGATAGGAATTTTGTCGGGGGGAGGGAGGCTAAGTCTCACAACAAAATACAAAAAATACAAATGCAATATTTCTTTTATTTACACTTTTTTGTGCCTAAAATAATATTTGAAATAAATTAAGGAACAATAATTATATAGGAGTATACACATTTCTAACGCTGCTGTGTGATTAATTCACAATTAATCACGATAATATAATAAAGATTATTGATTTAATAAGTAGAGCTGTACATTTTCATGAACATTTTTTTTTCAAATGGATTTTGTAATTATTTATTTTTTTAAATTATATTTTCCATTTGTTAATTATTTTAATTTAATTACATTTATTCACAAAACACTACACATACAATTAAAATGTTAACTATTTAGTATATTTTATTACCTAAAAATGTATTTGCTATAAATTTAAAAAAAAATCTAGGATAATTCTTTACTAGGTACATGAATTGTATAATACATTATTTATATAATATTAAAATTAATTTAGGCACATCGAGTACCTAACTCCTGTAGGAAAAAAAAATTCAAAAATTGCTAAGAAATTAAACAATTTCAACGATGCTGAAAATGTCATGAATATTGCAATGAAAAAAAATTTCATTTGAAAACTTTCAATTTACAGCTCTAGATTTAAGTTATTTCTGATAAGGATTATTTATAATATTTTTACTAGACAATATTTCAATATTTTTTTTATTACAAATTATGATACACGGGCTATAATGGTTAAAATAAACACAGTAAATGGAGGGAGGGGGGTATAGCCCTAGCTCCACTGATGGACACATCTATTTACATATAAGTACTAAAGTACATGCGACACATCAATACATCATAGGCCATGGACGTAGTTAAAACCAAATAAATTGAATCATTTCAATATCATGAGTTATGAGTTAATTGAATTAATTGTTATTTGTGTAAGTGTTATTGACCAATTTTAATTTTGAAAAATAATTTCAATTCGGAAGTCACTAACCATGTTTTTTTTTTCGGAAATGCATTTTTAGTGGAATAGAAAAAAATCGAAATTCCATTAGCTCCAGCTAGATCCTATAATGCAGAATATTCAAATTTCGAATACGTCTTAATATGTTTTCAAAAATATGTTGATTAATTTTTTTCGGGCGGTCGGACTGGAAACATTTATTTTCTACTTTTGGTACTTTTTAGTTTTTGAAGTCGTGTCCGAGTATATAAATATATAATTATATGTATAAAGTTGCTTGTGATGCGTGCGCGTATAGGAGGACTACAATATTTCAATGAATCATTAATGATAATAATATGATAGTTCTAACTTCTAGGAAGTCAATTAATGATAAATTACTAGTAGTACATAGTATAATATAATGTTATTATACCCAATGATAGCATCTAGTATCTACCCACACGCTCACACGGACATATTGGCTATTTTCTTCAACATTAAATAGATTTAAAATAATAATTTATGTTTTACTAGATAATTTATAAATTATTACTATTATCTTATCTGGAAATATTATTCAATTGTAATAGTTCTAAGTATTTTTTATAACCTATTTATTATTTTATATTTGTCCAGTACACTTACGTATAATTTAAAGAATGATATTTAAATTTTAAATATGCATTTTTCAATAGCTTTGAAAATTAAAATAAATTATAAATTATGATGCGAGTCAAAATTAAGTAATTAGTATAACCTAAATCTATATAATTTGTAGAGGCGTTGTTGAACATTTAAACAATTAAATCATATGAAGACCGTGACCTCGTGAGCCTAAATAGCTTAATTATACACCGGTACAAAGTATGTACTCATTTACTATATTCTTAATATGATAATCATCCATAATTTACCTGTGTATAACCTACCACGTTAATTTGTAGGAAAGAGGGTGTTAAAAAAATTTATAATTACCTATACAAAGTACAGAGTTCAAATTAAAAATCTAATTAAGTAGGTAAAATTACATGTATATATGAGCGCTTATAGAGATTGTATTGTAATTTGTTACTTGTGAACTCTTATTATATTATCCAAAGTAAAATTAAAATGCAAATTAGTGTAAATAAAAAATATAATCACATTTTTAGCAGAACGATAATTGGTTTTACTATGATCTGTGTTTTTTATTTAATTTTCTCATCCATTTAGTGTAACAGTAACCGTATATTTTATGAAATGGATATCCATTTCGAAAACTACGGTCTTTTCGTGTAAGTTTATAACTTTGGTTCGTGAAATAGGCATCTATTTAAGCTATTTCATAAAATTGAAAATATTGAAAACCCTTATTTTACAGTTTTACATTTTTAATTAATTTTATCATAATTGGATAACTTCTGGAAAAGTTCCATACATATATTATATTATTTTTTAATTATACCATTTAATAACTTGATAAGAACGGTTATTCGGTATTATAAAACAGATGGACAATTTTATTGGTGCTATTATTTTATGCCGTTTTACGGTTGAGTAATATTAAATGTAACCTAACCTATAATCAGAGAATGTCAATGATATTGTATGATATGAATGGTTTTGTGCTGCTCGATAAGAACATATTTTTTACATGGATTATAAGTACGTGTAGGGTACTCTATCGTGTAATAGTATTCTAGAAGTAATTTATAATTCTGCCAACGGTCACCTTTATGGTTCTATGGATCGTAACGCCTCTAAATAGCGGGGATTAATTGTGATCCCTTCGATTCACTGTTATTAATATAAATAATTAGTAAAATATTATGTGATGTTTTCGTCAAAAATAACTACAATTACTACTGTGTTTCTATAACTATACTGAATAGAAAAATTAATTACTTTTAATAATACGATATGAATAAAATATGAAATATCCTCGAAAATATAAGTTAGCACACTTATAGCAGGTAACACGGTCTTAGAATCGATTTTTATGATAAACTATAATTTATAAAAATGCTCCGTGTTCCTTGTTTTTTTTAAGTTGAATCGTAGGAAAAAAATCTAGAAGAGACATAATTTTTCATATTTCCGAAAGACAGTGCATAATACGCTTAACGTAAAATATGTTTGCACATTTACTATATAATATTTAAGATGACATCATTAGAAAACAAATATATGATCTAAATTTGTTGACAAAATGTAAAAAAAACTGTATTTAATTATATTTGTTTATTTTTTGAAAGATTTAATTCATAAAAGTAATACAATATTACATTTTTGTTCAATTATCAATGTCATGAAAGTTATCAAAACATTCTATACATACAAAAACATGACATGTGCTGCATTTTATGGATGTCAATTTATTACATCTATAATCCATACAGGTTTCCGTTTGTTCCTGGAATGTAGGATGGTGTGGAACTCTTCTTATAACTACTTCTTTGTCTTTGAATATGCGAGCTATAAGAATAAAAATAATACAATATGTATGATATTATAAAATATTTACTATGGTAAAAACAGTTTTTTTTATATATTTATTATTATTATAAGAATGTAAGATGTACTGAGGTAAACACCGCAGTATAATTTTAAGTGAACACGTTTAGACTGTAGATAGCTTTGACTTATGACTTATTATTATTTTCCTAAACGTTTTTACTGATTTTAGTTTGTCCTTATATTTTACTCCTCACACCATACACTACGCGTCACCACACTGACATATTCATGTTAGCGCTAACATTATAAATCATAATGCTCGGAAATTGTAACAAATATGTAAACCTTATTTATAGTATTTATAAAGTTATCCGTACTAGTATTTTGTTTTCTACTATGTTTGTAGTATACATTAAATGTTCGTGAGCTTAATATACTACGTAAGTCTTAAGTAATGCACTAGGTTCATATAGTTAACTATATTTGTATTCCTATTCATATTAATAAATAAAAAATCATGATAAGACTTACGGGGATATATAACACTCAATTCAATAAATAGTTGGCGTTTTGTGTAATTATGATTGAAGGGACCTCACTATGACTTTTATTCAAGGGACACCAATTAGACAATTTCTAATCTTGTCGCTGTCTGGTATCTATGAAGTGTTAGCCATAAATATTATTATTTATTAGTGAGGCTATGGATCAATACGGGTACCGATGAATGCCACTCTCGTACACGCATGTACATGACAATATAACTCGATATCAACACCAATTTATCATACGAGTTTAATGGCAACTTACTGTTTGTTTTGATAAAATAAAATTTGATTAACGTAGTCTAATTTTAAAGTTGCAAAAAGATTTGAATTCAGCAGAAAAATGTCAATAGATCATTTTTGGTTTAGATTTGATAAAATCTGTGTATTCGTGTTTTCGATTACAGTCCAAAATTAAATGAGATTGCATTTTTTCAAAGTGTTTCAAACGATATAAAGACATTTTTCTGCTGAATTGAAATCTTTTGTCAGCATTAAAATCAGACAACGTAATAACTACCTTTTTTAATTTTGTCAAATTTGAACTAAAATTAACAGTGTTCACGAGACTCCCCACTTAAAAACTATTTATTGTGTCAAACACATACATATAATGTATGTATTATATTTATAATTTTCCTTACCGGAATCTGCGGAGAGCTTCTGTACATATGGTCGCATTTCAGGAGGGACACAATACATTATTGGTCTGAAAAATAATCTATTGTAATCCGAATACATGTCTTGACGACCATAATCTGAGCGATCTGACTCGTCTGAAAATTCTGCGCCCATTGCCACGTCGAAGTCCGAACTGTCATCGCCATTTTCCGACATTTTGATATAATATTATGTGCCCACTTATCTAGAGTACCGTATGAACAAAAACACACGAATGTGCGGCGATCGACGAACGACCGAGGTCACGGTTTATTTAGCTGCAGGGGATACAAACACCAGTATTATATTATTGTAACAGTGTAGCGTGATCATAATATGATATATTATTTTGTCTGTGATACGTACTGCAGCAGACGATGCCACATGGTGCACGGTGGACTACGTGTTTTTACACAACTTCACGACATCTGGTGACGGGCGATATTGTTAAGATATTATTGACGATAGCGCTACGTCGTATCTTGCGGATAACTCGCCGATTTATTTTTCCAAAAATGTTGATAAACAACACTGTTCAGGAAGTGGAGTGGAAAATAGATGATAATTTATTGACAGTAGTGGTATATTAGATATTTCTATAAAAATATATCATCTTAAAATGTCGAAAAAAATATGATATGACACATTGAAATGGAAAACATAATTACTATAGGTAAATTTAATATGTACGAAACTAACTATTCTTCTCACCTATAAAAAAAATTAATAAATCCAATTAATACCTAACACAAGTTGAATAATTTTTTAATTCATTTTTTTAAATGATATAATTTTTGTTTTTTTTTCAAAAATAAAATTATTGGTTAATAAACTATTAATTATATTTTTTCTGTTGCATAGTACAAATAATTATATTACAATTATACTACAATAATATATACGTATATAGATGTACGATGTATGATATCGTTTTGTTAAACATTGTATTTAGAAAAAAAACAGTATAGATACATTGTCGCATACAATACAATTGTATGAGAACTAAATATTTAATGTTTATAAACAAATATATTATATAAATTGTATAATTATTGTTAATAAACTTATACATTTTATGTAACAGAAAATAAATTAAAAATTATACATATGCATTGTACCTACATATGCTTAATAAGTACCAAGGGAAAACACTAAAACAGTGCCCGCGATTCCTATACCTTAACGTATAATTAATGTAAGTATTACTATTTAGTATTTAGTGTGTACCTACTGCGTAATATGAAATACGTAATAATATGATACGATTACCATACATCAAATAGGCATAACACAATAAAGACTATATAGATACTATGTTTAACAGTGTCAAAATAGTTAATTATAGCATCGGCTGTCTAAAAAACTTTAATTATTTGTCGTACGTGTGTTGTGTACACTGGATAAGCTTTAAATGGGTACGTAACGAAATGGACGAAGTTTCATGAAAACATGATCGATTTCACAAAGTGCCTAAGACATAAAATAATATATTATTACGTTTTGAATGTCCTTAAATTTCTTTAAATATGCTCTTAACATAACACACTGACAAGTACCTCATACCTATTAATTTAATAAAAACTTATGATTTGTTTATTTATAAAAATTGAAAGACAAACATGTTTATTTTTCTGATATGGACGAGAGAAATTGAAATTGAAAAAAACAAACCACATTTGTACACACAATACACAATATAGACAACCATTATATGCATTAAGTATGTACATTTTGTATTGAGCCATATTTAAAATATTATAATATATGGCTGCATATTATCAATTATTTTGTTTTGTATTACGTACATAAACACGAAATCCCATCGCATTGAATAATATTATTGTCCTTGTCCTACACTAAACATGCAAACAACATTCAAAACTACTCAGATTATCTTCCGTTATTTTATAATAATTTCGTGTGGACATCTCGTTTAGTCATCTGATGAAACACTGTGCATTGGGCCCTATATTATATATACCAGATTATATCAAATTCCGTGTTAAATAAAATTCCTGTTTATAATTCAGGAAGGTATTTATACCACGGTGGCACGGTTCTGTCGGGTGTGGGATTTATATACGGTCATGTATTTCAATTCGATGTATCTCATTATTTCAACATACCTATTTTAATATATTATGATAGTTGTTGTTCGTTTTTAACAATAAAATACTGAGTTGTATGCTTTATAATACTATCCATCTTAATTTCTTTGTTTATGATATCCCTAGCGTACCTAAATACTCCTACAAGTAACTGATCTATTTATTAGTCCTGTGCTCTTTATTTTTTAGATTAATTTGATTTTAGTTTAACGAGAATCCTGTACAATGTATAACTAATAGTTTCAAAAATTATCTCGATTTATAATGTCCTGAGCGATGTCCAGTTGCTGGAAAATACGATCCGTGGTCATTATTCTATACTTTTCAAGTTAATACTGTTTTGAAATATATAATTAAATAAAAATTTTGTTCCTGGACAATACCATTCCTTTATAAATCATTCATTTGAAATATCTTTTTTTTCTACATTCTAGTCTAGAAATTATTTTTGGGGAAAATATAACGGCTCTATATAAGAATATTTTCCTCGTTTATATATTATATGTACTTCCTTACAACCGGGTCATCGATAAATGAGTAAAATAAAATAAATTTAATTTGTATATTTTATAGTAATTTAATTCTATATTGATACGTAATATTAATCAAAAACCTTGCTTAATACGAATCCACTTAAAGCAAGTAGTGCCACGTTCGGCTTACAATATTTTAAATAAAAGAATCTCATGCTTACTTAGGTACTTGGGCTTACTATATTCAATCCTATTTAAACGCATCGATCATCGGTTATTATATTTTTTAGCTACGGTCACTTTTACGATGTTGACACCGCCACGCATATGCACTATATGCAGTCCCGGGAACAGAATAAAATTAATATTTAAGACGACACGTGGTTATCGGGTGAATGATATAAAAATAATTTGACATTTTATGGCCCAATAGTAGATTATTGATGTAATGGTGTTTCACGGTATAACTTCTAGACTTCTAGTGTTTCAGTTCCTGGTCAAAATGATTATCTCAAAATAAATTTATCAATTCAATGTGCACACGAGTAAAGAGCTTATAGTTATAGCTTATAGATAGGTAATTAAATCTAAATGTGTTTCCCATTAGTTGAATACTTAAAATAATGATTTTGGGCCAACTAAATTACTTTTTCATTTCGAAAGGACATAATATAGGATGTGGGTATAGAGAACACAAAGTTCTAATTAAATATATATATTACTAATATATATATATATATATATTATATTATGTTGCACTTAATGTAATACGGAAATGAGTTATAAGTAATTATTAATCAGATACCTACATTTTTCATTAAACGAACTGCATATTATCAATTATTTTGTTTTGTATTACGTACATAAACACGAAATCCATTACTATAGGTAAATTTAATATGTACGAAACTAACTATTCTTCTCACCTATAAAAAAAATTAATAAATCCAATTAATACCTAACACAAGTTGAATNGGTGTGTGTGTGTGTGTGTGTGTGTGTGTGTGTGTGTGCGTGTGTGTGTGTGTTTTACTATTTGAGCGTACACTGTATTTAGTTAATATAGAATGTAGTACGAATTGTGGAAACAATCCACTTAGATGGCACTGGAAAAAAAATCCACAGTATAATTATCTAAGATATTTTATTTTATTTTTGAAATTATTACCTATTATTATTCAGAAATATATTCATTATACAAATATTGATACATTGGATTTTTTTCCTTACACCGTAGAATAAAATATTATACTGTTCAATATTCATTAAACTGTTCATGCCTACATAACATGTCATACCCACATGTGTATTCTCCGTACTTATAAGTAAAGTATAAGTATAAACACATTTTTCTAGAATCGACTTTGTGAACTTAGCTTTAATATAAGAATTGGCCTATATATTGGGATAATAATATGTACTGAATTATACAAATATTATCTGTTTTTGTAAGTTTGTGGTTTTAAATATTAAAATAATTACATTTTTAAGCTACTATAACCACGATTAAAAATATGTAAAATATTATTATTTCATAGCATAGTCATAATTTGCTTATTATAAACTAAAATATCGTATAAAACCAATGTAGGTACGGGCGATTGTAAACTATGCCAGAATACAACTTAGATAAAAAGGTAATGAAAAGGTCTAATGTAAACTCCACCGTTTTTATTTTCTTACCTGAAATGGTTATATGGAAACCCCGCCAGTACTTATGTAAAACTTAATAATATATCTCAACTAATGAAGCTCAAAAATCCAAAATTATAATGTTAGAGAACGTTATAAATAGTTATGATTTATGACAATGGATTTATATTAGACTGAAATGTCAGAATATCTACTAATTGTCTGACATTGTTTTAACTCACAGTTCCACATGTTATAACAAAACATACCTAGGTTTCTAGATACATATTTTATAATTATGACAATTATTTACTATGATAATACATTAATACCTACATATGACAATTTGGATGATTTGTTCTGACAATTATTATTTTTAATAATTTTTGTATATTTTTTGAGATATTAAAATAATGTACATGATATTTATCCTATATATTCATTTTATACTGTGACTTGATTTTCTTCACTGACAAAATGTACATGAACATAATTTTACTTGATTTTTTTCACTGGTGGAGTTCGCACTAAAAAAAGGTACTTGTGGTGGAGTTTACATGCGCCCGTAGGTACCTACATATTAACATAATATCTTTAAGTCGAATAACCTTTAACATTTTACCTTAAGACGATTGATGTAGAGTACGTATGTACAAAGTACAATAAGTAGGTAAAAATGAGCATATTACATTGTTTAACCTAACCTAACGCTGAGACGAAGTACGTGCGTGAGTGCGTGCGGGAGACCACACACACATTTACAAGACCTGAATGCATACAATTTAAAATTTGCCTATCTTTAACTCCTTAAGAACTTCGAAATCCTATTAAAACACGGTTATATGTATTACAATTAAATGTAGGAAGATTGCTAAAATTATCTACAATGTTAGTTTATACGGAATTTTAATTTTCTTTTTGGTTTTTATAATCATTAGTTTTTAACAAAATTGTAAACAACTATTTCAAATTAATTTCTATTGTGGTAAGCTAAGATGACTTAAGTATTACCGATAAGTACAAATATCAATTTTAAATCTAATATAGAGTCATAATATGTATTGTATTCACAGAATTCAAGAGAAGACTAATAACTGATTGCCATACACAATATATAATTATTGATGTTTTAAGGAGCACAGTGACGCCACTCTTAAAACATTAAGTTGGGTATTATTTAAATTTAAAAAAATAAAAATGTAATAACAGGTAGGCACGTCTGAAACGACTTTTTACAGCTGTCGAGTCACTACATTAAATGGCCACCAGATAACGCCACACTGAACAGTTATTTTCATCGAAAGAGGAAATTAATTATAATAGTGTTGTACATTTTATTTAATTGTATTTTTTGTCTTAGTTTATAATGGTATTTAGGCATGTAATGGCATCTCCCGGTATTCTAAATACATTTTCAGTTACAAATCGATCTAACGTCATGTTAAACAACATTTAAAAAATATTAATTTAATTAA